ATATGTCCATTTGTTCTGTAATTCCAGTTTGTGGCGTTTTCTGGAGATTCCCAGGGGACATGTACAAAATAAGTGATCATAAATCACTGATCTCTAAATTAGGCAAAGCCCTTTGTAACTGTGACTTATTGTTGTCCTTTCCTACAAAAACCATTCAAAACAGTTTTTAAATGGGATTTTTTTAATGACATTATTTTACAAATTTATTCCAGATTTTTTTTTTTTGGTTTAATTCAAGGTCAATGCTTAAAGAAATGAAATAAACCTTTTTTGTAGAAAACATGAATATCTCTCTTTAATATTTGAAAATGTCTTTACTGTTAAGGGAACAGAGCAGCACTTCGTGTAATGAAACATTACCAACTAAACCACTGACATGTGGAAGTTCTTCAGCATAAGACATGTTAGAATGGAGAAACACACGGCCTGCAGCAGGCACTGCCACTACAGGCCTACACATCTCTGGAGAATACGCCTGATGCAGTTTATGTTTGAGGTTTTGTTCCTTTTCTTTCCCCTTTTTTTTTTAAACAGAGTCCCCCTATATAGTCCAGCTTGAGCACAAATCCATGATCTGCCTGCCTCAACCTTCCAATGCTTCCCAATGTTGCAGTACAGGTGTGCACCACCATCACCAGGCTGTCCTTTTTGAAAAGAAACAAATTTTCTTCATTTTGTTGTGGTTGTCATTTTTTAAAATATTTTATTTTATATATATGTGTGTGTATTGCCTGCATGTATGTAAGTGCAGCCATGTCATGCAATGCCCAAAGAGGACAGAAGAGGTCATCGGATCCCCTGGAACTGGAGTTACAGTTTGTGTGGGTGCTGGGATTCTAGGAGTCAGTGCTCTTGACCACTAAGCCCTCTCCCCAACCCCCGTGGTTATCATTTTTAACAAACTCATCTTTTAGTCTTAAATGACATCAATGAGTAAAACTTTCTCTTGTACTTAGATCTGCTCATGGCTGCCAATATCTTTTCCATTAGAGAGAATAAACTCTTTTCCTGTGAATTTACTGGAGTCAGCTGGCTTTTAAACTTACTCAGAAATGTTCTGAATGATGTAGGGGTTACAGGAAATGCTTTCAGTAGAGATAAAGCAGAACTCTTTAGGTAAATGGATGTCCCAAAAGCTAAGCATAGATTGTTTACTAAAGCAAAACAAAATCCAGGCATGGTGGCGTTCGCCTTTAATCCCAGTACTTGGGAGGCAAAGGAGGGTGGATCTCTGTAAGATCAAAGCCAGCCTGGTCTACATAGTGAGTTCCAGGCAACCTAGGGCTACAGGGAGAGCCTGTCTGAAAGAATAAAAGACAGAAACCAAAAAGGAGGGATTTCGTGTTAGAACTTCAAGTGACTTCAAGAACTTCAGTTAGAAAATAACATGCCCACAATCAAGCATATTTCCATCAACTTTTCAATAATTTGAAATATCCAAATTCTATTCTGTTAAAAAAAAAAAATTAAGGGGATGGAAAACTGTATCAGCAGTTAAGAGCACTGGCTTCTTTTGCAGATGACCAGGGTTCAGTTCCCAGAGCCCACAATGCAGCTAGCAACTATCTATAACTCCAATTCCAGGGGATCTGATACCCTCTTCTTATCTCCATGGGCATTGTATGATGGGTGCACTTACATACATGCAGACAATACACTCATACATATAAAATAAAAATAATAAATAAAAATAAACAAATAAAATATATTTTTTACACATAAAAAATACTTTTTTTTTCAAGTTTTGAAGTTTTGTTTAAGCCCAGGTAACAGGAGCATGTCAGCCGTGGATTTGTTTTCTTCGCTGCACAGCCTGGCATTGGGTTGGTAACTCTGATGGCCAGCTGTACTGCTTTGTGGTTCTTGAAGGAGATACATTGTGCGCTATCTCAGCACAGTAAGATTTGTTGACATCAGGAGTACTTCCAGCTCCTTGACATTGTGGACTAGGAACTTGCGGAAGCCACTGCGCACCATGCGCTTTTGTTCTTGTTGCTCCCGTAACCAATGTTGGGCATCAGGATCTAACCCTTGAACCTTCTCCGCACCCTGTTGTCAATACCTCTGGGCTTCTGCCAATTGCACTTAATTTTCACATAACATCAGACTGGTGCTGGGTGAACTCCTTGCACTGCTTTTTGACCATCTTGGGCTTCACCAGCGGTCTGAGGGCAGCCATGATGCCTCTGAGATGGCAGCTACCTCAAAGGCAGCCAAGGAAGAAAAAGGGGTTTATTTATTCATTTTTTTTAAGAGATAGGGTCCGCCCCTGTAGGCTCAGCAGGCCTGGAACTCAATATGTAGACCAGGCCAGCCTTGAACTCCCAGAGATATGCCTGCATCTGCCTCCTGAGTGCTGGGATATAAAGGTGGGCCACCACGCCTATCTAATTTAAAAAAATTTTAAAGGACCAAATTAGGGTTATAGAGATGGCTCATCAGTTAAGAGCACTGACTGCTCTTGCAGAGGACCCGAGTTCAGTTCTCAGCACCCACATGGTGGCTGCAAATCGTCCTTAACTCCAGTTCCAGGGGAATCCGAAGCCCTCTTCTGACCTCCAAGGCATTGTACAATGTGGGTGCTTTCACATACATGTAGCCAATACACTCAAAATAAAAAATAATAAATAAAATATTGAAAAAAAGAACCAAATTAACAGTGAAAATCAGAAAAAATTTAAATAAATAATTTATTGAGAACTTCATTCATGCATATAAGGTGTTTTGATCAAATCCATGCCCACTCCCTCCCCTCTGACTCCTTCCATATCTCCCCATCACTTTTTTCTGGTAAAATTTCTTTTTAAAATTTCATTTATTATTTTTATTTTATGTGTGTGTGTTGCCTGCATGTAAGTGCACCCACATTGTGCAACACTCTAGGAGGGCAGAAGAGGGCGCTGGATCTCCCAGAACTGGAGTTACGGTTGGTTGTTAGCCACCATGTGGGTGCTGGGATCCTTACAAAACACCCCCAAATCAGTTGCCTTCCTCTGTACCAACAACAGAAGTTGTTTCCTGGTTTCAAATTATATTACAGAGCTATGGTAATAAAAACAGCATAGTACTGGCATAAAAACAGACACATTGCACAATGGAATAGAATTGAGGACCCAGATATAAGTCCAAGTGGTAGAGCACCAGAAGTCCTCTGAAACTGCTGCTGGTCTTATCTGACTCTGAGACTTCTACTAACCCTATCAATTAGTCACACCAGGATTGACCACTCCTGGAACTCAGGGGGAACTGCTGGAGACAGGCTGTTGCTGAAGATGATAGTCTGTCCTCCTTGGGCAAGGGGCCCCAGAAGATGAGACACATTGACCGCCTGCAGCTGCATCCTCTTCCTCATGCCCTAGCCCCCTATGTCATTTCTCAATCTCTCGACTCACAGGACAGGTCCTTCCATCAATCAGGAAAGCTGCTGTCCCTCACTGCACCCTTTGAATACACGCAGGCCCTTCTGAGGTCTGGTATGGTCTCTTTCTCGCCTATTCCTGCATTCTGTGCCCCAAAATCTAACACCAACTACCTACAGCCACCTGATTTTTAACAAAGAAGCCAAAAACACCCATTGGAGAAAAGACAGCATCTTCACCAAATAGTGCTGGCCAATTTGGATTCTACATGGAGAATAATGAAACTAGATCCCTAACTCCCGGCCTGCACAAAAATCAACTCCAAAAATGGATCTAGAACATTATCATAAGACATGATACCCTGAATCCGACAGAGGAGGAAGTAGAAGATATGCTGGAACTTATTGACACAAGAAAGGACTTTCTGAACAGGACCCCAGTAGAGCAATCATTAAGAACAACAATTGACAAATGGGACCTCATGTAGCTGAAAAATCTTCTATACAGCAAAAGATATCATCGTTTGGGTAAAAAGGCGACCTATAGAATGGGGAAAATCTCTACCAGCCATACATTTGACAGAAGGTTAATATCTAGAATATACAAAGAACTAAAAAAATTATACATAAAAAACTGTAGCAAGAAACTTGGGGCAGGAGAGATAGCTCAGCAGTTAAGAACACTGTTCTTGCAGAAGACCTGGGTTCAAATCCCAGCACCCACATGGCAGCTAACAACTGTCTGTAACTCCAGTTCCAGGGGATCCGATGGCTTCTTCTGTCCTCCATGGGTATTGCACGACATGGGTGCACTTATCTATATGCAGGCATAATACTCAAACACATAAAATAAAATAATAAAAATAAAATATTAAAAGAAAATTGTAGCAAGAAACTAAACAAATAGTTCTCCAAAAATTAAATGCAAAGGGCTGAGAAACATTTTTTAAATGTTAAACATCTTTAGCCATCAGGGAAATGTAAATTAAAACCACTTTGAGATTTCATCTTACTCAAGTCAGAATGGCTAAAGATCAAAAAAAAAAAAAAATGACAAAAGCTAGTGAGGGTGAGGGGAAAGGGGGTACTCATTCTCTGCCGGTGTGAGTGTAAATTAGTGCAGCTACTATGGACATCAGTGTGGAGATTCCTCAGAAAGCTAGAAATAGATCTACCACATGATCCAGCCATACCATCCTTGGGCATATACCAAAAGGACTCTCCATTCTACTGCAGAGATACCTGTTCATTGCTGCCCTTTCCACAATAACCAGGAAGTGAAAACAACCTAGATGTCCATCAACTGATTAATGGTTAATGAAAATATGCTACATTTACACAATGGAATATTATCCAACTGTTAAGAAAAATGAAATTATTAACTTTGTAGGTAAATAAAACTGGAAATAATCATCTTGAGTAAGATAACCCAAACCCAGAAAGACAAAGTGTTGTATGTTCTCTCTCATAAGTGGATGCTAACTTTGAATCTTAAGACATGTGTGCTTCAACTGGAAAACCTAAAGAAGTCCGGAAACTAGTAAAGGGCCATGTGGTCGGGGGTGGGGTTAATAAGGAGAGGAGATAGAATTTGGTGACATAAAAGGGGAAAGGGGACAATGAAATAGGAAGGGTTAATCTGGTAGGGGTGGGAGGGTCAGGAAGGAGTATGGGGAGGGGTAACCAACACTAAAGGCTTTTTGAGAAATTCATATGGAAACCTACGACTATTGAACATTCTTAAAATATATACATGTACTCCCAGACAGTAACCCAGCATAGAACTGGGAAAATGAACAGCAGACTTCAATCTTATCTAAAGGAATATTGACAACTGATTGCTGCTAGATGAGGGACAGCTGATCTTCCTTAAAAAAAAGGATGTCTAGATAGGCTGACTAGATTCAGTGGATGGACAAGCACTGGGGAATGGCTGGAGGTGCTGACAGCACAATGGGCAGTAACAGGGATGATAGAGTACATGGGCTCCAGTGGCAGGGAGGCTATGGGAGGGTACCATTTGGGATGTGGGTATAAAGATGAATAAGATCATTTGGGATGTTCTGTACGAAATACACATACACAAAAATCAATAAATTTAAAAAATGAGTTATATTTGAAAAAAAATGTGTATATATGTACAATATAAAGAGTTTAAATGGAGTTACCCTATAGTGTGAGGAATGCCGTACCTGACACCACTGGCTACCAAATAAAAAGCCCAATGCCAGGAATGGACTTTCCTTTGGAGTTGTTGAACAGGAGGTTCCCATTGACCCTCAAACAATACTGAGTACTGCCATTGCCCTTAGTTACTCACCAGAACTTGACAGCAAGACCCTATTGCTGATGACACTACATATGTGAGAACAAAGGAGAAATTAAGCTGGTACTGACCTCAAAGCTTCATCTGTTCTGGCTTTCTTTCATAGTACTAGAAGGTGCTATGCATGTAGCTGTAAAAGAAAGGTAATTATCAATGTTACTCAGCTGTGAACTACAATGATGATTGACTTGGCAAGATGTGCCCATTGGTGCAATAGTGGCACAAATGTTATGGAAGTAAGCAACTACCTTCTGATGGAATGTAAGGCCCACATCACAAGATGAGTGTTCTAGTTAGTTTTCTGTTGCTGTGATAAAAGTACTAACCAAAGCCAACTTGAGGAGGAAAGGGTTTATTTTATCTTACATCTCTCAGGTCATAGTTCATCACTGAGGGAACCCAGGGCAGGAATCTAGAGGAATGAACTGAAGCACAGACCACCCCTGGCCTGTGCTCAGCCTGTTTTTCTTTTATTTATTTATTCTTTTTTTTTTTTTTTTTTTGAGACAGGGTCTCCCTGTAGCCCCAGCTGGCTTGGAACTCACTATGTATACCAGGCTGGCCTTGAACTTACAGAGATCTGCCTGCCACTGCCTCCCCAGTGCCGGGATTTAAAGCATGCACCACCATGCCTGGCTCAGCCTGATTTCTTAACACAGGATAACCTGCACAGGGGTGGCACCACCCACAGTGGGCTGGGCCCTCCTGCATCACTCAGCACTCAGGAAAATGCCCCACAGACATGACCACAGGCCAGTCCAATGGAGGAATTTCCCTCCACCCAGGTGTGTCAAGTTGACAACAGACCTACCTAGCACAATGGGGCTCATACCTAGTACTGCCAGTAGGACAAAGAATATGTGTCTAGACAGGTCACAGGTTGTAGGGGAGAACTTTCTACTATTATTCTGCTAAATAGACATAGCACTAAATTGACTTCTAATGACGTATTGTTACACCCATAGATTAATGTAACTCAATTCGTACCATAAAAGCTCCTTGTAGCAGATGATGATTAACACAGAGACCCACAACTGGTCAATGTGCAGAGAATAAGAGACTGCAGAGTGCTCAGACCTGAATGAGCTGGCTATATCACACTCCCACCCTCCAGACCCCACCAAGGCTCAGGGATCCTTGAGGAAGGGGTAGCAGAAAGAACTGGAGGTGGTGGATGAGGACAAGGAAAGGCTTTTGCAGACAGCAAGGCTGTTGAACATATGAACAGCAGTTGTGGCCTCAGGAAGAAGACAAACCCAACCCTGCACAGCGGAGGGACATGTGAGCAAGAAACCCCAGCTCTAGCTGAGAAATTATTGGCAACTGATGACTGTCGAGGGAAGAGTCAGTTTTCTTTAGGTTGGCTGGGCTCCAGGGAATGGGCACGCAGCCAAGAGCATTTTGGGATACAAATTAGACTCGACAGGCTTAAAAAAAGACAAAAAGAAAAGTCCGTAGAGACATCTGTATTTATGGTTGTTATTTCAATGGCTTTGCTAGGTGCAAAGCCACATTATCAGTGTTATTTGTAAACTGTCTGGAACTGAGAATTAGGACTAAAGCCATTTTCTTATAAAAAATAATGCAGGACATGAATTCAGTGGGGAGTAGTGGGGTAATAATGTGGGGGTGGAGGTGGGGGAGGGGGTCTGAATAGGATCAAAATACATTGTATGGCATTCTGAAAGAATCAATAAAAATATTTTTTAAAAGAACAATGTCATGTTCACGATTTCTTATTGGCATTCTCTTCTGTGGCTCTAGGATGACTCTGCGTTCTGACTTAGTCCAAATAAGGAGCTACCCTGCACTTTCACTACGGGAAGGAACGTTTCTGTAGTAACACAACTCCCAGAATGCCTTCCATCGAAGCAGTTTCTAAAGGGGTGTGTCTTATAGGAACTCCTGCAAGTCCTGGAGCTGAATTTTGCAAGCAGTTCTGAGCACTGATAGGGTTTTCTCCGAATCCTACTTCCTGAAACCAAAGCTGGGGAGGAGAAACTGTTTCCAGAAAGACTGTAGTGGAATTTACTACTTTCAGAGTCAGATCTGCTGATTTTAAAGTGTTTCTACTCGTTTTCGGGATAACAGTGAGTATCAACCTTCAAATGAAAACTTGAAGTAGATGTGGGGATGGAGGACCACATGGTGTAGTCGGAGCGTTTTTTCAAAGACTGATGGTTCCCTTTCCACTTCTTAGTCTTGCATTTAAATAACCCTGGAGCGCTAAGAAATGGTTGAACTTCTAGAAGCTCCTCAGGAGGGGAGGGGGAGAGGAAGGGAGAGGTAGAGGAGTTTACAATAGTATACTCTAGTTACTGTGAAGAGGAGAAAATGAACGCTTTAAAAATATGTAAGTTTCTAATAGCGATGTACTTATGTCACAGAACTTGTTAGACCTGCTGGTGAACATCTGACCTTGTTTCTCAGTGTTTAATTAAAGCATTGAAGGATTATTGGGATTACTTATTTTATGAAATGAGCCATACAGCTGGAGAGATGGCTCAGCAGTTAAGAGCACTGGCTGTTCTTGCAGAAGACCTAGGTTCAAATCCCAGCACCCACAAGGTGGCTAACAACCATCTGTGTAACTCCAGTTCCAGGGGATCTGATGCCCTTGTCTCCTCGGGCACTGCACAACATGGGTACACTTACACAAATGCAGGCATAACACTCATACACATAAAATAAAAATAAATTTAAAAAATGAACCATGAGATCCTGGCTTGGATCATGGGAAATGATGGCAGAAATGACCATTTATGTGATGGTGCCAGTAATTTTGCCAGGAAAATAATGAAAATAACCCTGCATACCCAGGAAGAACTGACAGGAACTCTGGGTGTGCACATGGTTTTTGTTGTTTTTTTAAAAGCACACAGAAAAATTAAATTCCTTTGTATGTATCAGTAGACTAATCCATTCATTAAGAAATATTATAACATTTGAAAGTAGAACTCTAGTTTAGTCTGAAAAACCATATATGTAAACCTTTAAAATTGGATTTATAGGTGCTGGGGACCGGAGAACTTTGTGTCACAATATAAATGCAACAGCATCTCCATTTCTAATATGTGCTTCTGTCCCCCTCTTAACAAGTTTTGAAAGTGTGCCTCTAATGCTCCTACAAATAGTATATTCCCTTTTTCCTGGCTAGAAATATTAAAAATTTTCACAGCTAAAAATATTAAAGATTTTTCCTCATGCATGTTTGCAGCTTCTGCCCGTCTGTGCATGAGCTCAGCATGATCTCTGTGCTCTTTATTTTTCCTCAAATGCCACTGACGTGTAGAGACTGTTCAGTGACGTACCACAGGAATTGTGCATCTCCAAGTCAGGTGATATGACAGCAAATTGCATGTCTATGTGATACAAAATTTTGGTGGGGTGGATGTCAGCAAACTTATAGCAGGGAGACACTCCAAACCTGAGCACATGCCAAGTTTGATCTTTATGGCTACTGACTTTAAAATAATTGACCTCTGTCTTCCCACCTCATCCCCAACCCCATCAACCTCTAGTCTGAAGTGAAACAAAATACTAAAATTATTCTAGAAATAAACTTACGGCCCACTTTAACAGTCTTTTCTAGTCTGAGAGAAATCATTTAAGCTCTTTCTCCAGTAAGATAACAAAACTTCAGAGCATCCAGACTGATAGTAAGGAGCCAATAATTACGTTAAATTAAGGTATATTGAAAGTTTTAAAAAATGTATAAGATCTCACATAAAACAATGCTGTGTGGTAAGCATGTCTGGTCTGTTGAGCTATAATATACCCCTCGGTAGGTGCCTATGATGTTGACCTAGAACCTGGAATTTTCCTTAGGAAGAAATGTGTAAATTTCAAGACATTTCTGAAATCCTGACTCCCCCATTCTAAAGGGTTGCTCTCACTCCCTTGCCTGGAACACACGTCCTGCTTTCTTTTACTATTCATTGATCTATTTCGGAGAATGAATAAACCATTCATTATGATGACTGTTTCTGAAACTTTAAGTCCCCGTAGGTTGGATAACTCCTACGGAACTTCCAGTCACTGTTCTGCTGTAAACGCTGTCCTTGTTTTTGTTATGGTGTTCTTGTCTCTTTGAATGAGGAATCTCTGTCTTTGTATTAGTAGTGATATTTTTGCAAGATGCTGTGATTTCATTTATCTATAGGGCTCTATGGGACAGACACATTTAAAAAGTAAGAGTATTGCTTGGTGCAAACACTCTTTTATGACTGAAGAATAGAAAGAAATGAATATAGTTTAAATAAAAGACATTAATGCAGCTCCCCTACAGTGTAATGCACATACTGAATTTAGATGACACTTGTCAAGCCTTTACCTTTAAAGCACTGAATTATGTTCTAAACTTAATTTGAGTTAAATATGTAACTATTGGGCCTGGCAAGATTGCTCAGTGAGAAAAGGTACTTGCTTGCCAAGCCTGATGATCTAAGTTTGATCCCGTCTACTTCCATATCAGCAGTGTCGTGCACACACTCACACACATGAGTAAATATTGTAAAAATGTAATTATCTCATAAAGCTTCTGACTTTGTGTATATTTTTGCATAAGATGATGCTAAATCTAAAGAAATTGAGCCAATTTGCTATTAATTTTAAGAAAGCTATTTACATAAATATCACAGGTAATATGCAGGTGCAGTAGAAATTACGAAGGTGCAGGCAAAAGCACTTAAGTTGTAGAGACGCTGCAGTAACAACATCAATAATAGCTCCAATAATAACATCAATTGTGTCTCCTAAGTATAGATGGTCAAAATATTTGATGGTGTTTCAGCAAACATTTATCAGATCTGTAATAATTATTTCATCTGGTTTTTGTTTGGTTGGTTGGTTTTGGTTTTCTCGCAGTGTATTCTCAAATTCACACTCTTCCTGCTCTAGCCTCCCAAGTACTGGGATTATAGCCATATACCACCATAGCTTCAAGGAAATAATTCCAAACAGGGAAAAAAATCATGCAACTGTTCATCATGAAACATTTATGATGGTTAAGAGTTACAAACAATCTAACAAAGGAGGAAAATGAATCAAGTTACATATACCACAGTACACCCACCATTGATGCGTTGTAGTGAGTACTAATACCGGCAAAGGAAATTCTCACTATAAAACAAAAACCTGCATCAATGGTGAACTTTTTCACGCTTACACAACTTGTTAAAGCTATACACTCATGAATTTTCTAAGGGTAGTTGTTGTTTTATAGTATTGGGTTAATGTTTTTTCTTCCTTTCTATTTATTATATTATATTAGTTTTTACCCTGTTATATAACATACTTATTTTCTGAGAAAGGTAAAAAATGCATTAAATAAAAAAGAGTTAGTCTGTAGCAATAAAACTAGTTGGACTTGAGATAATTACCCTTCACCTCCCCTCATTTGGCAGACACTTGTTTATGTGAGTCTCAGTGCTGGGAACAGACATGGCAGCTGTGGGTCATGGAAGGCAGTGGTAGATAAATGCTGCTACAGACCGACTTTCTGATACTTGAACTCTAAGTGTTTTGAGTTCGGACTTTTTAACACTTGCATCTATAGAACAGGATATCTTGGCAAAGAAGGCCAAGTCACAAAATGCACATGTATTTATTCCATGTGTACCTTATACACATATCCTGGAGGTAATGTCATAGACTATTTTTACTGCATCTGCATTTTGACTTGTAACCCATTACATGAGGTCAGGTTATCCACCTGTGATATGATGTCAGGGTTCAAAAAATTACAGATTTGGGGGCCGGAGAGATGGTTCTGAAGTTAAGAACACTGGCTGCTCTTGCAGAGGACCTAGGTTTGATTCCCAGCACCCATAGGGTGGCTAATGACCATCTGTAGTTCCAGTTCCATGGGGATCCGACACCCCCTTCTGACCTCCACTGGCACCGCACACACGGGTGTACCCACCCACATGCAGGCAATATACTCATACACATAGATTAAAAATAATTTTAAAAATTCAGATTTTGCCACATTTTCTATTTCAGATTTTCAGATAAGGACTCTTCAAGCTGTAGTTGACTTTTTTGTGTTGAAGTACTTCAAACTTAGTACTATTTTGAAGACAAGAAAAAGGAAAAAAATTACCTACTATGTGTATGTTAATAACCTCCTAACTAAACTCCTCATTCTTTTAAATTGTTACAGCCTAAATTCATTTATTTATGCCTGTAGATATTGTACCTATATCCAATCACCTTATCTTTCACTTTAGAGTGTCCTGGGCTTCTCAAGGAATCCCTGCTCAGGATCTTAACCCTAGCAGTCTGCTGACGGTGATGGTTCCCTGTCAGTGCATAAGCACAAAACCTGTAAAACTGTAGAAAAGCCCTGTCCGCTCATCATTGCTTTTCTTTTGTATAAAAACATTTTAGGACTTTCTCATAGCTCCTTTTTTTCAGTCATGTTGTCCCATTAACACAACCCATAATTAAAGTTCAGGCATCGCGGGTTGTTATTTTCTAGGGTGACTGTACCCGTACCCAGGAATCTTCTTCCTTGACTCATGCCCCCAAATAATTATGGGGAAATAAAACACTGTGAGAGAGTAACATCTTTTATGAGATACTGATAGATCAGGTTTGATGGATACTTCTTTTTTAATATTTTATTATTTTTATTTTGTGTATATGACTATATTGCCTGCATGTAGGTAAAGTGTTGTGCAGTGCCCATGGAGGACAGAAGAAGCTGTCGGACCCCCTGGAACTGGAGTTACCGACAGTTGTTAGCTGCCATGTGGGTGCTGGGATTTAAACATGCATCTTCTGCAAGAACAACCAGTGTTCTTAACCGCTAAGCCATCTGTCCAGCCTCCATGATGGATATTTCTATAAATTGCAAGTGACTTTAATAATTCCTCTAAGCAGGACTAGAGGGATGGATCAGTAGTTAAGAGCACTGGCTGCTCTTGCAGAAGACCTGGGTTCAAACCCCAGAACCTACATGGTGGGTGACAACTGTCCATCACTCCAGCTCCAGGGGTTCTACCCTCGTCTGTCCTCTGCAGATACTACATGACATGGTACACTTACATGCAGGCATAACACTGATACATATAAAGAGAAAAATTAG